GAGGCGCGAGGAGGGGCGGCTGCCTGCTGCCCTCGCCCTCGGCCCCCGCCGGCGGACCCCGCGCGGCCAGCCCCTCTTCGCGCCCTGACATTTGGGGTGGGGACAGGTGAACCTGCCGCCCCATTCCCGAGCCGCCCTGAGCCAGGACAGCCGACCCTGCCTTTTTAGGGTTTTTTTCTTGCTGCAGTGGAGTCCCCCGCAGCCATGGCCCCCAGGAGCCGCCGAGGGCCCGCAGGGACCGCCCCCCGTCCTGGCCGCCCGGGCCCGCCCTCTGCGTCCCGCGGGCAGCCTGCGTGAAGCGGCCTCCCGCAGCCCCCGGCCCCTCCCCCATGGAGGAGGAGGAGGGGGCGGCGGCCAGGGAATGGGGCGCGACCCCCGCGGGGCCTGTGTGGACCGCGGTGTTCGACTATGAGGCGGTCGGCGAGGAGGAGCTGACCCTGCGGAGGGGCGACCGCGTCCAGGTGCTTTCCCAGGACTGTGCGGTATCCGGCGATGAGGGCTGGTGGACCGGGCAGCTGCCCAGCGGCCGTGTGGGCGTCTTCCCGAGCAACTACGTGGCCCCTGCTGCGCCCGCCGCACCCGCGGGCCTCAAGCTGCCCCAGGAGATCCCCTTCCACGAGCTGCAGCTAGAAGAGATCATCGGTGTCGGGGGCTTTGGCAAGGTCTACCGGGCCCTGTGGCGCGGCGAGGAGGTAGCTGTCAAGGCTGCCCGGCTGGACCCTGAGCGGGACCCGGCAGTGACGGCGGAGCAGGTGCGCCAGGAGGCCCGACTTTTTGGAGCCCTGCAGCACCCCAACATCATTGCCCTGCGAGGCGCCTGTCTCAGCCCCCCTCACCTCTGCCTGGTGATGGAGTATGCCCGGGGAGGTGCCTTGAGCAGGGTGCTGGCAGGTCGCCTGGTGCCCCCTCATGTGCTCGTCAACTGGGCTGTGCAGGTGGCCCGGGGCATGAACTACCTGCACAATGACGCCCCAGTGCCCATCATCCACCGGGACCTCAAGTCCATCAACAGTAAGTGGTATACGCGCCCCACAGCTTCCTTCCACGGAGCCTTGCGAAGCCAAGTCCAGGTGGTGGGAAGAGGGTGAGGGGTACCGGACGGTGCTGTGCCTGGGGCGAGACAGGGCAGCTGTATATGGTCAGGGCCAGGTGAGGCAGGCCCTGCTGCCACCAAGGTGGAAAAGGAGGCTCAGAAAGGTGGAAGGACTGAACTGCCTCCCAGGCTACGAAGTCACAATAACTCCATACATATGTATCAGGAACACTGTGACAGTCCCAGCATTCCCCGCTGTGAACAAGACAGATACAGCGCCCACCCTCATGCTTCTGACTCCCATCCTGAAGCCATAGTCCATCTAGAAGAGACAAAAAGGAGCTTGTCTACGTGGAGTTAGGTTTTCTCCACCCTGGCCCTGTGGACGTTTGTGGCTGGACATTGTTGGGGACTGTCCTGTGCCTTTTAGGTAGTGTAGCAGCATCCTTGTTCTGTATCTGCAGAATGCTATTAGCATTCCCTGTCCTCTGTCCCCGGCTACGGCTACCAAAAAATGTCTCCAGACATTGCCATGTGTCGCCCAGGGGGCCAAATTGTCTCTAGTTGAGAACCACTTCCTGGAGTCCTGCTAGACGTCTGAGGCAAACTGGAAAAGACGAGGGAGGAAGAAAACGCTTGCGGCTTCTATAAAAGTTTCCAGGCTGCCTGACCTGTCACTGGTTCTCTAAAGTTGGTTGGTTGGGCCGGGCATGGTGGTGCATGCCTATAATCCCAGCATTCGGGAGGCTGAGGCAGGAGGATCGTTGTGAGTTCGAGACCAGCCTGGCTACAAAGTGAACTGCGTAGTGAGACCCTGTCTCAAAAAGACAAAAAAAAAAAAAAAAAAAAAAAATACGTAAAGTTGGTTGGTTGGATCAATAATGGGGCCAGGTAAAAGGGAAGGTCCCCCAGAACTCATATCTAGACCAAAGAGCATCTTGGAGCATGAGCCCGTATTACTTGAGCACCTCTTACGTTAGGAACCCAACAGGGCCTAAGAGAACCATGGTTTCTACCTGACAGTACTCAAACACTAGACATTTCATTCATTCGTTGTCCAGATGTTCCAGAGTGCTGTGTGCCATACACTGTCCTAGGCGCGCAGCAAGGGAAAATCCTACCCTCCTAGCTCTTCCAGTCTTGCTGCGTCCCATCTCCCTCCCTTTCATTTTTTAAAAATCTGCCTTCATTCTTTCACTTGCTATTTACAAGGCGGGATCACAAGCTAAAAACAAGAGGGATGCACAGTAAATGAGGCCAGCATGTTCCCTGCCCTCACGTGGTTCACACTGACACCCAGAATTGTGAGGGTTCCCTCTTACCCTCAACACTCACATCACATCTGCTTCTGCTTCCTGTCAGGCCTACAGCTTCACATTTTTTTGAACCGTTCCAGTTGTTTTGTTGCTATGGCTTTACCAGCTGCAACTGTAAGCCCCTCGAGCAGAGGGGCTAAGTCATCCTCACCTCCCAAGTCAGGCAGTTGTGCACTCAGCAGATAGCTACCAAGTGCCCATAACATGCACGGACCATGTGCAATGCCGTCAGGGGGGCTAAGCAAGACAGATTCAAGTAGCTGACCCCGGCCTTCACAGATGCCCATACTCCAGCTCCTTAATACTGGTGAATGGAGGCAGGGCCACCAGCATGAAGGCTGGGGCTCCTTTTTCATCCTTTCTCAACCCTGCTAACTCATAGCATGATCCATGCACCAAGTTTTTCTGTCACCAGTACAGCCTGGACAAAGGGTAGGTAGAGTTGTTTGTTTCATATCAGAGATTGAACCCAGAGCCTCTGCACTGAGCTACATCTCCAGCCCTTTTTTTACAGTGGTACCTCAGTTCATAAACTTAATTCTTTCCATGATTCTGGTTGCAAACCAAATTGGACAAGAATGGGATCAGATTTCTCTAGAAGGTCAACTTGAACTTAACCACTGAATTTTGATTTGGTTCTTGTCCAAATCAGTTTGTGATCAGAATTGTGGAAAGAGTTAAGTTTGTGAACTGAGGTGCCGCTGTATTTTGAGACAAAGTCTCACTAAGTTGTCCAGGCTGGGCTCGAACTCGTGCCTTAGCCTCTCAGAGTGCTGGGATTACAGATGTGCACCCAGTTTTCTTTTCTTTTCTTTCTTTTCTTTTTTTTTTTTTTTTTTTTTTTTTTTTTTTTTGAGTTCTGGGGATTGAACCCAGGGCCTTGCACATGCTAAGCACATGCTCTGCC